GTAACAAAGTTAAGTCTGGTCCTCTGGATGAAAAAAAAAAAAAAATTGTTGAAACGTTTCGTCTTTTATCCAAAAGACTTCTTCAGTCTGACAATGTGCAATAAACTCAGTCTTATAAGCAGCACCTTCTCATAGTGGATCAACCAGTTTGTTGTTGACAGCCAAAACTAGTTGTTCACATGATCAAGGAGGACTATCAACCTAACGATGGACCATTAGCACCCTGATGGATGTTTGCTATTCACAGGGGGCTGAGTGATACTAGCAATAACAACATCCTCTTTGATCATGTGAGCAGCTGGTTTTGGTTGTCAGCAGCAAACTGGTTGATCCACTACGAGAAGGTGCTTTTTATAAGACTGAGCTGAATACAGCACCTCAGACTGAAGGTCTTTTGGATGAAAGACGAAACGTTTCTACATTTTATATATTTAGTTTGTTTTGTTTTTTGAATGTCCAAAGCACCAGACTTAACTTTTTTAGATTTTTCTACCTGGATTATTGAGCATGCATCAGGAAATCACAGCATTGTAAGAGGGGGACAGTTGAACCCAGAGGCCTCCACCCCTGTTTAATGATGGACGATTTCTTTTCACAAAGATGGCCTCCTTTACTCCTCTCTCAAACCATCGTTCCTCTATGTCCAGGATGTGAACATCTTCATCCCTGAAATAGTGACCGCTGGCCTGTTGAATGTAGACCGCAGAGTCCTGGCCTGATGATGTTGATCTTCTGTGCTGGGCCATCCTTTTGGCCAGTGGCTGTTTAGTTTCCCCGATGTAAGACTGATCACAGCCCTCCTGACACTGAACAGCATACACAACATTACTCTGTTTGTGCCGGGGGACTGGATCTTTGGGATGAACCAGTCTTTGCCGTAATGTATTTTGGGGTTTAAAAGCCACTGGGACGTTATGTTTAGAAAATAAACGTCTCAGTTTCTCTGATACTCCCTCAACATATGGAATGACCACTGGTCTGGGTTCCTCCTTTTCACCTGATGGCTGACTGGAGTCCTGTTTGGGTTTCTTCTCTGCTTTCAGGAAGGCCCAGTTAGGATATCCACATTGCTCTAGAGCCTGTCTTGTGTGGGATTTCTCCTTCTGCCTGGATCCTGAGTTAGTGGGGACACTGTCTGCTCTGTGGTACAGAGTCCTGATGACACCTAATTTGTCGGTGTGCTCAAAAAGATCTAAGAGATTTCTATGTACACAACAGGCCTTTTTCTCTCAAATATTGTTCATAAATGTATGTAATCTGTGTTAGTGAGCACTTCTCCTTTGCTGAGATAATCCATCCACCTCACAGGTGTGGCACATCAAGATGCTGATTAGACAGCATGATTATTGCACAGGTATTGTTGCTGACCACAATAAAAGGTCTCTCCAAAATGTGCAGTTTTGTCACACGGCACAATGCCACAGGTGTTTAAAGTTTTAAAGGAGCATGCAGTTGGCATGGTGACTGCAGAGATGTCCACCACAGCTGTTGCCTCATTTCTCTACCACAAGTCATTTCCAAAGGCGTTGCAGAGAATTTGGCAGTACTGTACCGGTGCACCTCACAACCACAGACCATGTGTAACCACATCAGCCCAGTACCTCCACATCCAGCAACTTCGTCTCCAAGATCGTCTGAGACCAGCCACCTGCTTCAACAGTTTGCATTACCAAAGAATTTATACACAAACGGTCAGAAACCATGTCAGGAAAGCTCATCCGCATGTTCCTCACCCTCACCGTCGGGCGGGTGAGCAGTTTGCTGATGTCAGCGTGTGGTTAGACGTGGTCTGTGATTGTGTTGCTGGTTGGATTTACTGGCAAATTCTTTGAACAAGGACATTCCTGCACTCCAACAAAACCTGACATCTGTGGCATTGTGCTGATAAAACTGCACATCTTAGTGGCCTTTTATTGTGGTCAGCCTAAACACACTGTGCAATAACCATGCTGTCTTATCTGCATCTTGATGCGCCAAACCTGTGAGGTGGATCATCTCAGCAGACTCCAAAAAGGGGATCTGTCAATGATTACCTTCCGAGTTGAATTAAAATCCATGCAGTGATTTGAGATATTTTGCTAACAGAAACCTGTTCATTACCTTCAGATATCAAGAACATCTGCCGTGTTTGAGGGGCCTGAGCTCAGCATCAACTGTGTCTGCACAGCTATCATTTTAAAACTACACGTTTTTAGATTTGACAATCATTGTTTTTGGCCTTTTTAAACATTTTCTGGAAATTTACAGAATATTTGGTCATCAGGTTTTCTTCCCTTACAAGATTCAAATACCAATAAAAAGCAGGAGTGTGGGAGACATGAATAGCAGAGAATTAAACGTTTAGGGAGGGGAAGCTTTTCCTAATAATCTAACAAAGTCAGGTCCTCTGGATGGTTTCTTTTGTTGTTGAAACGTTTTGTTCATCCAAAGGACTTCATCAGTCCAAGGAGCAGCACATCCACATAGTGGGCCAACCAGTTTTTATGGCAGTTCTGGAGCAGCCATGACCAAAGTGGTTCAAAATATCAAAGTGCTTCCTGTGGGACTGAGTTTGTTGTGGCTCCTTGGACTGATGAAGTCCTTTGGATAAAGGACGAAATACCACAACAAAAAAAGAAACCATCCAGATGATCTGATTGAACGATGTTGGATTTTCTACCTGGATTATTGAGCATGAACTTGGATATTTTGAACCACTTCATGGCTGGCTCAGATGAGTCGACGGGGGAGAGGGCAGGCCCCAGAAACCATCTGATCACCAGCAAGTTGGCCCACTATGTGAGTGTGCTGCTTGTGGGACTAAGTTTGTTTCATCAGACTGATGAAGTCCTTTGGATGAAGGACAAAACATTTTAACAAAACAAAAAAACGTCCAGAACCTGACTTAAGTTTGTTGGATTTTTCTACCTGGATTATTGAGCATGAACTTTGATCTTTTCCTAATAACTTTATGATCGTAAAGATTCAAGTCTATTCAAACAATGTCACCATTTCAAGCAAAATGAAAACAAAGGTAAGACTTGGGGCTGGGTTAACCTTGGCACAATGTGTGAAAAATAATCAGCACCTCAGCATCCTGTTTTATCTTAGCTGGGCTTATATTGTGCGTTACGATGGGTTTCTCTTTCATTCACAGCTGCCATGCAGGCTGCTGTCGTTACGAGCAACTTCTGGTTTCCAGCAATATGAAATACTCAGATATGAGCAAGTCATTTTTGTCAATTTAGATTTCTCTCTTGGAAAAAAAAAAAAGAAGGCACTTTTAAACAAACTTTTTTCCCACCCATACTCGTTCAGAGCTGGAAATGGTAAAAACAAACTCCATACTTGGAAAACTGTGCAGGATCCCTAGAATACCACCATCATGCACGGTGGTGGCAGTATCACGCAGTGGGGCTACATTTAAGGCTGGGGCAGGCATTTCACCTCAAACAGAGTTGGACTCATTTCAACACAGCGAGCACCTCCCAACATGAACTCGTTTCAACTGCCGTGCTAACATTGAACGACTCTTAAAACATGAACGCATTTGATAATTTTCTTTTATTTAGACAACCCAAATAAAAGGCACAGAACATTGCGCATGTTTAAGTAATAATTTGACAAACATACATTTAAAAAAATGTAGGAATGTTTGACCTTTCTGCTAATCAGAAAGCCTAGCCTCTCATATATACAAAATTATCAATGTTAATGTTCTAATACAAAAGATTTATAAAAAAGGTTCTTATCTTTCACATCTATTGTAACTACCGTATCCTTGGAACTAAAGGTTTTGTACAAAGATATACATTCAACTGCTTTTCACAAGGGTCCTGGTATTTCCAATTATTACTTTTTTACGTTCCTTAAAATAAATGAGATGTTCAAATTCACAAGAATAATTCCGGTTATCACATTATAAATCGTTTCAAATTTGGCAATCAGGCTATTATAGTGTATCTACGTAAAATGCATAAGAATAAAAAAAAAAAAAACTAAACTAATATTTTGTTAAAAAACTTGGGAAAAAAAAAAAAGACAAACATGCATATTGCATTTCTTTGTATAAACTGAATCAACTCAAAGGAGCTGCAACACTGCTGAAACATGGCATTCATTAAAAAAATAAAATAAAAAAAAAGAACTGTTAATGTTGAACAGCTACAGTGTTTAGGGTCATGCAACATCAATTTTGTCCCATTGCTTTGAAACGGGCACAAAATCGCATTTTATCAAACTCATCCAGTCCTCAGCCACGAACCGAGACTGAAGTTTAAAGTAAATGTAAAAGATGTACAGCATTTCTTTTATTGTACAGTAAATGATCATTTAATGGACGGCTGGTTGAAATGGGCACATCTGGAATTCCCAGTGATCGTAATTTTAAGTCTGAACACTGCAAACGTTCGATATATAGTTCATGATTATTGAGTCGGTCTGCGTGTTTCCTGAGCGACAACGTCTGATCGCGGGGCTGTAACAGATTAACGAAAAATAATCGTAATATTAATAAAAATGTGTAACAAAAGAATCCGCTAAAAACTATTTTCCTCACCGTTACAGCTTGAAAAACTTCTCTACAAGGCCAGTTTTTAAAATATATATACTCCGCCACTAGATGGCCCTTTAGTGTAGGCTGGCTGACCACAACACTCAGAGTCCATTTGATCTTTGATAATACTGCTGTTCACCTGCATGTAGGATCTGCCTTCAGTGCAAGACTCATTCCATTCTGACTTCATGGGAAAAAATAAAAAAGCACAAATAAAAACAAACCTCTGCGTTTCCATATAAATAGAAAACAAAGTACAAGTGTTTCATAGTCAAGAGGCCAGTGTTCAGATGTCCACTGAAATGACAAAAGCAAAAGTTAAAAACGATATCGTGAAAATACATTACTATGTCAACTGTACAAGTTAGTCACTGTACCTCAAGAGCATATCTACTATCTGAGAAGAAAAAGAAATGCTAGAACATTGTGAAAAAATAGGCTTCCATGTACATGGAAGCAACTGTCCCTTTTACTAAATTCATTTCCTATAACATTAAATAGTGATTAGCAGGCTATAGTATTAAAAAAACAAAAACAAATGGGAAAAACGAACAAAAACAACCTACATACAAACAAAACGCCCAGCGGCCTCGGGAGAGATCTTGTAAAACGCCAGAAACAGCAATTCATGGTTATTGCTTCAGTCCATTCCACATCTCCCTTAAAACAAACAAAAACAAAAAAAAAGCATGTGTATTTTTTCATAAAACGTCCTCCACTGTCGTTCATCATGATTCAAATCACAGTTTTATCACTAACTGCCTACGCTAAGTCTCACGGCTGTCTTGATTTCAAGACAAGTCCTACTAGAAGTCTACTTAATAAGTTCTGCATCACATGCCAGTCACTTAACATTAGTTGGGACAGTTAGGACATTGGGAGCTCCTACTGGCCTCACAGCTCATGGAAATATTCACTTCAGGGTCTGAAGTGAATATTGTTTGGGGTCGGGGGGCTGCAAATATGAGGTCAGCAGTCTCTTGTTACACTTCATTTTCCCTTTCTTTCTGAACAGTTAGATGCTGATTATTTTTCTATCTCTTAATTGTATTTTTTCTTACCAAGGAGGGGAAGAAGGCAAGACTTGGGACAGAAAAGGCATGCTATCCATTGGCCTCATCGCGATGTTTAGTGGACCGGCTATATTCATAGGCATCGGGGTCGTTATCGCCACTGGGTGGGCAATATTCATGGAAGCTGAGGCAGGGATGTTCACAGACGCAATGTTGACGGGGCTGGTGAGGGTGACTGGGTGCTGGAGGCTGACGGGGGACGTGATGTTGACCGTGTTGGTGCCAATGTTCATTTGTGCGGCTATAGTGACAGGGTTGTTGTTGTTGTTCGTGTTGCCCCGGTTCATCGCTGAGGTGATGGGGGCAGAAATGGTCACAGATGTAGCCGAGGCAGAGTTGCAGCCTTCATTACCCTCTGAAAAACAAAAACAAACAAACAAAAAAAAACAGTATTTAGGTTTTCTTCTGCAGACATTTTCATTAGCTGGACATGAGAAGTGCGTGTAACATTAAGTTAAAGCTAGGCCTGTCACGATAACTCATTTTGCTGAGCGATTAGTTGCCTCAGAAATTATTGCGATAAACGATGACATTTTAAAATTTTACAATAATTAGTAATTATTGTCAAACTTGAGAAGAAATGTTGGTTAATTTGTTTTGTATGTAGTACCTTTTTGACCACCGGATGGCAGTATAAGACAGTTTGAACTGAAGGATGGATAGTGAGGGAGCGAGCAGCGTGTCTCTAAGAAAAATGGGAGGAAGCCCCTTGACGTGACATGGGCTGTCTCTCGTCATTCTCAAAATGGCAGACAGTCGGTGTGGTTGGAGCTCTTTAGCATAGCATTTGTCACACAATGCTTTTAATTAAAAAAACCTGTAAACAAGTTCTCAACTTCTTTTTGCAGAGAAAAACAACTTTTTACACGAAGGCACGGGTTACAACCGTGAATTTTAGAGCTTTGACAAGACGGAGGTTTTTTCCCCCCCCGAGGTCGACCTGTTAGCTTAGCTCGTAGCTTAGCTTCTTTTAAATGGATTTTAAAGAGAAAGGGAGGGGTCAGTGAAGAGCACCGGAGTTTAGTTTTTTGTCATCCAGTTTCTTCAGTAGAAAGAGAGAGACACGAAGAAACGATAAAGCTGATAAATAAAAATGAGGTTGATAATTTTCATTTATAATGCGAATAATTGATTTATTGCTTATCGCGACAGGCCTAGTTAAAGCAATAATGTTTTACTGCAAAAGCTTTCATTTACCCTTTATTTATACAGGTAGTCTCAAATAAATGAGATATATATATATATATATATTTATATATATATATATATATATATATATACATACATATATATACATATATATACATATACACATACACACTATAACTGTGTTATTGCTCCAGTAATTTTAATTCTGTATGATGTTTTTGTTTTGCTGTCTATGTTTTGCTACATTTCTGTTAAGCACTTTGATAACAGTTTATCTGTTTTAAATTGTGCTCTACAAATAAAGATGACTTGACTTGACTATATATATATATATACACACATACATATACAGACAGCTGAAGCCCCGGAACTCTAATGTCCAATGTAAAACTAACTTTACCGCGGTTTAATGTGGTGCTATGGCTCTGCAGACAGTGCACGTTGCCGTCTTGTTTTGTGGTGTTTCTAGTGTAAAAATATTTCCACACAGCGGACATGTTTAGATGAAAAGTTGCTTAGCTGTTAGGCACAGTGCTACTGCACATTGTAGCTGGCTGCAAACTATGAAATGGATTTCCTGAATGTGAGGCGGGTCTTATTACTCTGGGTTCACGAGACACACCTCCGTTCAGTAAATCCATTCCATAGTTTGAAGCCAATGTGCAGAGCATCCGGCAGGGAATCGTATGAGGAGACGTTTCAGCAGACACAGACATGCATCATGGATCGGAAAAAATCAGATACGTAAATTATGCCCGTATCGGAGGCCGATACAAGATCGGCCCCATCCCTACTCTTTATTAGACATGAAAATATATACTGGTAAGTGTATTTCTTAAAATAAAGTCAAAGTCCTTAAAGTTTCAAGATAAATTCAACGAATCAACGGATTTTAGTTTTGCAGCACAACCCTCTAAATTGTCGTCTGATTGAATTGTAAAATGCACAAAGATTCACATGTCTACGTGTTTTATTCATTCTTTCAGGCAGTAGTTTGCTAATTCCAAATTTAATAGCTACACTGTTAATTACCAAACATGATTAGTAACTTCCAAACAGTTTGGATCCGTTAATCATGTGGGCAGAAACACAACTGAGCTCTTACAAGTGTTTTCTCCTCTGAATGTCTGTGTGCAGACTAGTGATGAACTGGCCTTTCAGTCTTGGTAGATGGGGCTCAGAGTTACAGGTAACAATTAGTTTGACCCCTAAACATTCATACCCATTTAGTACAGTCAAAACTTATTAAGGTACTTGCAGGAAATATGCAGTTATCAGTCATTGATACTGGTTTATGATTTGGTAAGATATAAAATACTTTAAAAACTAAAAGGGAAAGTATTTAGTGGAAATGTAAAAAAAGGAAAATACATTTTTTGATCTACCATACTTTCTACCGTACACGTCGCACCGCCCTATAAGTCACATCAGTACAAATATGTCTAAAGTGGAAAAATCCATAAATATGTTGCTTCACCGTATACGTAGCATCTATTATGCGTCACCGCTGACAACCCAGAAATGTGGGCCGGTGTTGTTCCAAAAATCGATTACCTGCCAAATGGCAGTCACTGGAGCATGCGCGGGAGAATTTTAACAAGAATTTAACAAGATTAACACTTAAAAACAATCATTTGTTTGCTCGATATTATAGTAAAGGTGTGTCTTAGTTGAACTTTTACTTAATAAATGCACTTCAATGGTCAAATTAGCTGCATACGTTTGCTCCAGGCGAGCTGGACCAAGGTGGTATGCTAAGGCAAGCCAAATGTGTCATTAATAGCCACTTTTATTTATTACATGACACAACAGCATGCCACACAACTCCAGTGCCATCTGAAAATGGTAGTGTTTAATATTTTCAGTCAAAATGAATGAAAACGGTCATATCTCAGCCAAAAATTGGGTTTATAAATATGGGAAAAAAAATCCATAAATACGTTGCTTTGGCATATAAGTCACAGGGCATGTAAATTATGCAAAAAAAAAGCGACTTATAGGTTGAAAAATATGGTACTCCTATTATTATAGTGTGGATTTTTATCTTCATGCGTGCCCAACCTTTGTTACAGGAGTTAAAGTTGGTCTGTCCATGAGTCTTCAAATGACTGGTGATGTAAGCTGCACTGAGCATCTTCCCGCAGATGCTGCAGGTCACCTTGCCTTCATGCCGGATCATGTGGGAGCGGAGTCTGTCTTTGGTGGCAAAAGCAGAGGTACAGGCCTGCAAATAGGACAGCAGACAGGGTCAAAGGTCATGCAAGAATGAAACAGAAAAAAGGCAAACATTAAAAATCTAAATTGATGGCAAACGCTCTTACCGTTACTTGACATTTGAACGGTCTTTCTGAGGAGTGCACATGCTTCACATGGCAGCTCAAGTGGTCCGGCCTTGGGGAGAAAAAAGAAGTAGTTAAATTGATAAATGGTGATGTGTAAGGAATGCCTGCAGATGAATCAAACAGCATGCTCTCACCTTTTTCTACGGCTACTTTCACTTCTCCAAAAAAAAAAAAAACTTGGTGAATTTGTATTTCTGGATTATACTCAATGTGCAACTTGTATATTAGATATTTTATTACTCCAATGACGATACAATCCCTACATCAACCTCATCAACAATTTGACCATCGACTGGTCATTTAAGGAACTAAAACAAATATGATATTTAAATTTTCTTTTCAAAATTGTGTCTTTTTGCTTGACATAAAGTCCCATACAGAGAAGGTAAACGGTTCATTTCTGGTCTTAACATGCATTAAAATGTAGAAACGGACAGATGTGCTGTTTGCTTCAATAATGAGGAGATGGACACAAAATCCTTCAAATTTCAGTCAATGGCAGTTAATTCTCCACAATCACTGGTGCGTGAATTAGTTTGACCTAGTTTCAAACATGCACTACAATGAAATGGACTTTTCCCCCCCTCCCCCTCTTATCTGGCAACTTTAGTAAACAGTTTGCTTAACATCATTAGTTATATTCCTGACAGAAATACAAAGGTGATAATGGTTTCTATTTCTTTCTTAACCTAAACAGAAATCTTTACAATATGGACAAACAATATAGAATATTAGTATTTTCCCCCTAAAGGTCAAGAAACTACAAAAGTTCAAAAGCGTGTCAACAAGCAGCCTAAATCAGCTGTAATAATAACAACAGCTCTTAACTACTCTTTTAACTCTTTTTTTGGATTTTTCTACCTGGATTATTGAGCATGCATCAGGATACTCTTAACAGTTTGCAACTATTAGGAACATTGATGGTGCGGATTCTCAGTCATCCATGATACAACCCCCCCCCCCCCACACACACACACACACACACACACACACACACCATGCTATTCTGTAATTGATGTTTTGCTTCCCATCTCAAAACGGCTTTGAAACTCCACTTTCCAGTTTGGAAATGGGAAGGAAACCCTGATGGTAAGAAAAGACATCCTCTAAAACAGAACAGAATTTCACGTTTGTTTTTTGTTTGAATAAATATTAGGAGCAATTTTACTTAAAAAAAAGTTTATACGTCAAACACAAGAAGATGGGTGAAAAAACAAGATAATTAACTAATAATCCTGTCAAACCGAACATAATTCCTATGAATGTGTTCATTTATTTGGCGACAATACAAATTTTAGAAATAAAATTTGATCTTTTATTAATAAATAAATGCATCATAAGATTAAAACAAGCAGAACACAACTCCCAAGCAAACACTGATGACAACACAACTCGTGTTTATCTATTTTTGACGTACAAAGTTCGCGGAATAGTTATTGGCCACTTGACCTTTACAGTGAAACTCCAGCATTCACAGATTCTTCTCGGCTCTGCTGCTCCTCTGCCAGCACGCTGGTTCTGCTGAAGCTGAATCATGTTAGCTGTGCCATACTGGAGTGTGCTGATGCTGCTGGATTTCTGGTTAAACTAATTAAAAGCCTAGTTGAACTTTCTCTACGATGCTATAGACCGGATGTGTTTTTCCTTTTTGATTTCTCCTGTTGGTTGTCCCATTGACAACGAGAGCAGACTACAGACGTGCCCACATTTCTGGCTGAGTGGCAGTGACTCAGTGCTCTGCTATTCAATCCCCATTCTCACTTTCCTGTATGCTGATGAATCCCTCGCACACGTCACCGTGTTGGAGGCATGCCTGAAACTGCCGTACGCAGCACAGTGCTAATGTGAACAGCTTAACCAGGGGGACGCGGGTGATATTTTTGTTTAAGGTATGTTGCAAAACTGAGCTCAACAACAGTTATCAATAACCCCTAGCTTTTCAAGTCGTAGTCTCGAAGCTGAATAACTACATCTGAGATCGTCTTAAGAACTTCTTAGGCAACATGTTTATTTACAACTTATTAAATGTGCTGACCTTAAAATTACGCATGGTTCACTGAATTCCTAGGGGAAAGAGTCTGTGACAAGCTGGCTGGAACTGCAAAGTGACAATAGACGCCTCCCCCCCACCTCCTGATTCTTCACTGGGGCTCTCCCATGTGCGACTGTTTGAACACGTGGTTGAACCTTATAGTAACTACATTAAAATGTATATAACAATAATAAAACTTATACAGATAGTGCTTACCTAGTAAAAACAGAATATCATCTGCAAGCTGTTGCTATAATTGCAATACAAGCAACGAATTGCAGTTCATTGCACTTTTGGTGAAACCAAAACTAAACAAGGTTAGGCAATTGTAATCATTGTTTAAATGCTTTCATATCAAACTCTTTCCGTTAGCTGAAAAACGGGGAGAAATAAAACTATTTCCTGTTATAATTTATTCATAATTAGGTTATTTTTAAATTCCATTCAAACTTTCTTCTGGAATCCAGAAATGCAACCACCAGAGGGTGAAATTACTACAGTCTCCCCCTCCAATAAGTACAAATTAGATCTCAGACTCAAACGTCCTGTTTACACTGGCCTTGTTATTCGCCGTTACTTGTTGATTGAAAACATATGAATAAATAGAGCCGTTGTGCACATGAATAGAGCTACAGCTTCTCGCAGTGGACCCATCAGTTTGAAGCAGATGAAATGATCACTTTAAAATATAGACCTATTGTGCGTCAATAAGTGTGATTAATTATGTTCATCAGTTTTATTCAGCAAAATTAAAAAGGTTTTTAAATATATACTGCAAATGATGCTTACCTGGAGAAGCCTTTTCCACACACAGAACACACATAGGGCTTGTGGACCCCTCCGTCATGAGAGCGAACATGGTAGGTCATTCGGTCCTTTCTTTTAAAGCGCTGCTGGCAGATGGGGCACTCGAAGGGCTTCTCGTCTGAATGGGAAAGCTTGTGGCGATTCAGGTGGTAGACATCACGGAAGGCCTTGCCACACATCTCACACCCATGGTTTTTCTTGACAGGCTTTGGCGGTTTCTTCGGGACATTTTGCTGCGGCACATTGCCCATTGCGGACGACGTCATGATACTTGTGCCCGAAGAAACCGAAGTGGTCGCCGTAGAGAGGATGCCTGCTACTGTGGAGATGTAGGATGGGTTGCCATTGTTCTCTCGCGGCATGGATGCAATCATAGGTACCATGGTGGGAGCTGTTTGGGCTGTCTTCTTTGGACGTGACACCATCTTGATACCGGTGTGGCTGGACTCGTGGCGTCTTAGATGGTAACTGTCTCGAAAGGCCTTGTTGCAGTAGCCACACACAAAAGGTGTTTTGCCTTTGTGTTCCTTCTTTATCACAGGCACTGGTGGCCGTTGGCCTCCTCCGCTTGCCACATTGTCTTTCAGGAGTTCAGCAGCACTGACAGGAGGCTTCTGGTCTATTTGGATAGGCAGGATAGGCTTCTGGTCAACTTGCTCAGCTCCAGCATTTAGAAGTGGCAGCAGGCTATTCTGGGCCACCTGATGCTGGTGGTGGAGGGCTTCATTGGCCTGCTAATAAAACAAAGCATACATTTTTTGGTTGAGCAAACGCATTTCAGATTTTTCATGACAAAAATTAAATCAACGCTTTCATGCACACAAGCAGCAAGTGACAATCTTTTTGGGTATTGCAATTCAGAGCAGCTAGCACTCCCTACAGAATGTAAAGCAAAATGATGTGGTTAGTAACAGCTGTTCTACAACTGGAAGCTGTCAGCTAGGACTCAAAAATCAATTCTGACAAGTCAATGAAAACTAACATGGGGAAGATCTTACAGAATACAAAGTGGGCCTGTCATTAATGAGGCTGATGCGGCGTGCAACTGATGCAAAACAATCCAAATATACTGGATGAAAAATGATCCCATCGTGACGGTGCTGATTCGTCATGTGACTGCAAAGCAAGCATACCGAATTAGAGGCATAGCAGGGTCCAGTTTAGCTGCCAAGAAGGCTCTTGAAGAGTAGGCCATTACCTCAACTATTGAGCACAGTTAAGAACTACAAAGAACTAAAAATGTGGTTTAGTAAAGTAGAATCCTCTATAAAAAAAGCCATCAAATTAGATGTAACAACATAAAACAAAGTGGCACAAATGTTTGCTGTGTCTGGCCTACTGCACCATATTTCCTGGGTTTTGCAGGTACAGAGCAATATGGATGACTGCCATACAACATTAAATTGATATTAAATTAGAACAATTAGCAGCAGCAAGATGTTTTTCAGCTTTGTTTACCCATTCATTGGTATTTAATTTCTTGCCAAAGCTGTGACTTCAAAAATTTTGTCATGCAAGGCAAACGACCAGGATAATTGCACAGCTTTGTCTAAAAGAGAATCAACGCATTTTGTTTGGGCATGTTTGAAGCTGAAGGAGGAAGACTAATGACAGTCAACAGTTGTGCAAGACAGAACTGTTGTGCATACGGTAATGTAGAGCATCATTTATGACCCACAATGTAAAAAAAGCTCAAGCGATATAGTCAAAGTGTGATCCTGATGAAGCAGTACTTTTAATAATCAAGCTCGAGGTCACTGAGCACAGTTAACGTCCAGTTTCTGTTTCCAATCTGCTGCTTTGCACTACAGACATGACAAAATAAAATGCTACATGAAAATATTTTTTTTAATTTGAAATGTGCATTTTGACTATCTAAGGGCAAAAGTCAAAGCATTTTATCAATTTCTATCAATTTTGTTCAATACTATTGTTAAACTACTTGAGTAATTAAAAATGCATGCTAAGCTAACTAGACCATGGCACGGTGGAAACACGAAATCAAAGTTATTTTTTCCAAGTCTTAAATATGTGCTGAAAAACGTACAAACTGACAGATGTTTACAGGTAGCAGGGCAGATATTAAACTGCAAATAGTCTTGAACTGATTGCAGCAAAAAGAAGCAATCCCACACAGTTTTAGACCACCTGTGAGGACATCTTTTGCTCAATTCAAAATGTTTCAAACTGCATTTCCACCAACAACAAAAATGTGAACTGTACTTGGGACAAACCAAACGATTGCCTTAGTTAAGCTCACAATAGTTTTAATGATTGTATTTTGCCTTTGCGGTTTTCACAGAATACTATTTTTAGTTTGATTGTTTGATGTTGCATAATCAAACAAACTAAACCTTTTCTTAGTTTCCTGTTACATGCGTATGTTCTTGTTGCACTGTTAAAGGATTAGAAACTAGGCCACAAAAGTAAGACTTGCCAATTTGAGTGCAGCTGCTCAGTGCAAAATAAAGTTTTCATTTGTTCTCATTTTTCAATTTTGTATATTTATTTACTACAACAAAATACGGTATTTTTAATATTTGAATTGAAAATTAACTTATGAATGAGATATTAGCTGTAAGCCATATTGAATAGTCTGAGTTTAAAGGACACTTTTCATTTTCTGTGTCAATTCAGAAGTTAAGAATAAAAAAAAAAAAAAGAGTGGACGTTTCAACAACACATTAAATGCTCTGCAATTCCTAACTTTCCAGATCACAGCTACCAAACACGAAAAATCCACAACAAAACAACCTTAAAACAAAGTAGATCAAAAATAAAAGTGGTGTGTTGATTGTGATTATTTTCCAAAGAAAATGCATTTAGGTTTGTGTAAACTGCCACTTTGAAATGGTTTATGAAAACAGCCGAACACTTGTTAACACGGATACTAGTTAGTCAAATTACACTAAAAATAGCAGGGAAGCAAACATAACCCGAGCAGCAACAGCTTTGAAAGAAACTGCACTATTACTTTTACCATTATTTACTTCAGGTAAAAGTTTTTTTTTTTAATTACTGGTACTGTTTTTTCTTTTCTCTACTAAAAAACTTTTTTTAATTTTTTTTAACTGCAGATAAATTGATATTGAATACGTATACAGATTAAATGCTTACACACGAATAAAAAAAAACGTGTCACATGATTTTGCAGTAAACTTCCATGTTGTCTACCACAGCAAAAAAGCTACGATGAAATGCTTGACCTTTCCCTTTTGAGGTTCGATCATCCATCGAAGAAGGCCAGCAAAGACAGGAGTAGCAAAAGGAGACGGGTTCGAAAAGAAAAATGAACCTCGCAATGTCCTCCTTATGTCATCTAGCCTATTGTGACAGACACAAATCTGAGCAGTGATGCACTCGGGCCTCAGCGGGGGATCTTTGTATGCTCATCTTCATTGATTTGGCTCATCTATTCATGAGACAGAGACATTGTTTATCCACACAGCACTCAGCTAAACTAGCCATCGTTTGCAGTTGGACCTGGGAACTTGTGAAGCATGCCACCATCCATTTGTCTGAGCACCTGCTTACACTTGCCACCTTCCACGATTAGTCATCATGCCAATGCAACCCCGTCCGCTGGCACACCAGGAGTTGCGGGGGGGATACCAGCCGGGAAACCTTTTTGTAAAGCTTGTGAACAGCAGACGTAGCCACTACAGACAGACTGCCCTCTACACAGAGGTGCAGGGCCTGTAAGCTGCTGTGCCTTCATGCAGCTCTGACCATTTTGACACAAATGCGCTCCGACAACTGGGGCTGCTCCCTCATAAATAACATCAAAATGGAGGGAGTGTCCTGACGGCTCCGTGGGCCACTGTAGACTTGAATTGAGCTCATAGTCTGATTATGCACCGCCTTTCCTCAATCTTTTGTGTCACACACTACAGCTGCTTGCCCAATTGTGAAAACAACAAATAGAAACCACGAGTGATACAAAAAGAAAGAGGTGAATACTAAATACAAAATATTACATGGCTGTTTGCCCTCTTATACGTTCAATCCTCATGTTGAGATGTTGAATTGCATTCCAAGTTTCAAAATCTCCGGCTAATATAGAGTTTATTGACTGGACAAAAGTTCTTGGAAAACATAACTTTCCATAGGTCACATGTCCACTGGTTAGCCTGTAAAACTAAAATTACACAGATTTAAAACCCTATTTGATGAAAAACCCTGTTTGATGAGGCAACAACTAGAAGTGGAATAATATTTTTGGAAACGGATTAATTTAGTCAAACTTAACTTTTTTTTTTGACAGCATTGTGTACCAGGATGAAATAGGCAACTTTAATTACCTCACTTTGTACTTTATAAGAAAGCCACTTAACACTGAATATGTTACTTTTCTTAGGAAAAAATATCCTGTCTGAATTAAAGAAAAAGTCTGAGATGTACTGAAGTAAATGCTTAAAACCTTTTTGGAAACTGACCCCCCCCCCCCCCCCAAATTCCTTAAAAGGTTTCAGCTGAACTTTATAAAAAGGTATAGTATAAGTATAAAGTTGGCACATAAATAGTACTTTTGTATAAAAACTACAAATAACACATTTAAATTCAGCACACTATTTTTTTTTGAATGGGGAAAAAACACCTTCTGTAAACTAGAACATCTCATTTAGTCATTAAAATCAAAAAAGCCTAAAGTGGATACTCAAGTTTTAAACCATGTATTAAGCTACAAACTTAAATCCTACTGTAAACGGTTGCAGTCAAATATATTTTAATGACAACACCTGATGAGTAGACTTTTTATAAAGATGTCAAACCTTGTTTGGACCTAAAAACACTCCTTATTTGAATGAATGTCACAAGAGATTTCCATATTTACTCAAATTGGGTTTTTTTTTAAACCACAAAAAAGTATTTTTTGTTTGCTTCACAATACAAAATACCTCAGAAAGTTCTAAAACTATACAATATTGCTAAATACTTAAAAATATGCAGTGCAAAATTCTCAATTTAAATAATGTAATTTCAATATTTTAGTGTAACGTAAAACATTTATTATTAAACATTGTCTGTACAATACGAGTTGCAAATAGAGATGCCAGAAAAGGCCATAACAGACTTTCTGGCACGCAAACACAATTTTAAAATTTCATCTAAAAGAAAAAAAAAGTTCCTCCAACACATTATATGTACAACCAAGGAACATAAATAAAGTGCTTAAAAACCAAAGAAAAAGTATGTTTCACACAACTGCAAATGATATTTAAACGTTTGAACATAAAGTACTGTAGGATGTTTTCTGTAAGGACAGAAGCCAGTAAACCTAGTCCACTCTCAGAAAGCTCAGTTTGTCCCCGATTGGTCACAGCCACTGGCCTGAGCAGGTGCCACCCACTGCTAACCATTAGGTCTGCTGGTGGTGGTGGTGTTCCAGTATCATCACGGGGGGATGGGTCCAAGAATTTGGGGACAGATTTAATTGGGCAAAGAACCAGTGTATGGCTCCAAGTGCAAGATGAATTATCAAAATTTATTTAGTCGCCCTTTTTATTTATGTTTTTAAGAAAACAACTGCACAATAAAGTGCAACTGGTAATAGTGTAAAGTACAAAATTCAAACTGATGATTACTGGGTGCAGAAACTGAGAAAAAACAAAAAAAAAATCTAGGTGCAAAAATATGAACAGCTGCTCAATCTTTAACTCCAGAATCAACTTCTATAAATGGTTAAATACATCACACAGAAGGCTGATGTGCAACAACAGTGCACCGTTCTTATTTTGTGTCATACGCTTAAAGTTTGTTGAACTAGAACTTCTAACTTACTTTGCAAATCTCAAAAATAGGCCATCGCTTTAATTCATTTAAACACTGACTAATCAGCTATGCTTCGGTTTGATAATATACTATTTGTATTCCTAAACAGAATACATTTTGCACTTTTTAGTAAGATATTTCCAACCGGCAAAACATTTTACAGCCACAGTCTATCATACAAAACCTAATTTTCATCTAATGCTTGAAATGTTCAATACACTGTACAATAACCTGGGTATCCAGTAACTGGATTTTTTTTTAATGCAGATTTATTTATAGATTTACATACCTATTTTACAGATTTATTCATTTTGTGTGCGTTCAGTCAAAGCAGATGCATTTACTGACTTAAAATATATTTTACAAGGGGTTCCTTCTATATGTTCAAATGTGCACGTATGTATGTATGTATATGTGTAGGTGTATGCATATAGATACAGATTCATATAAGTGTTAATGTTGATACGCCCTATACAATGGTTTTAACATGTCTGGAATGAATCAATAAAATAAAAAAATAGATTTAAAAACTCACTAAAAGTGAGCTTAAAAGTAAATTTGTGAATGAGTGTTAAGTACTTCTAAGTTCACCTCAACACCCCCCCCCCCCCAAAAAAAAAAAAAAAAAAACAGTTTTAGACTTACAAATGCACTTAAAACAATTATTTTGGTGAAAAAAATACAACAGCAGCTAAACGTACAGCAGCAGCTGCACGAATTGTTAGTAAAATATCTTGTGTCTCTGAATCACATTTCACATGCTCAAAACCAGACTCTTTTTCAGTCCTGCTAAAAGGCCATAAAATAAATAAATAATTTCTCCCTGCAAACAACATTCGTAATAAAATAAGGCGAATCTCAGTCAGCAGTAGCATTTAACTTTCTCTGCATGTGATTATTTGTACATTTCGTTGTGTTGTTGCTAATTTCAAAGCTGCTGCTTCGGTTCTAGTTAGCTAGTGCCGTGTGCATAGTTTGAATTCTTTTCTCCAGAGCTCACCAGAATAAACAGATTAATTAGCAGAACGCTGAATGACGTTAGCTAACAAGTCATGTAACGTTAGTTTTGCTAACTCATCACACCAGCCTCGCCCACGTTTAGCCAAATTAGCCAGCGACTTTAACGAAGGTAGCCTAAACATCGTTAGCCACTTGGCTAGTTGCAGCCGAGCCGGCTAAAGCAAGCGGAAAGTTGACCGCGGACTTGGGAATCGCCGTTACTAAATCTCAGCAGCTGCTAACTGAACGTCTGCTAACGCTAGCCTCTGGAAAAGCTACGGCATTTTTTTTCTCGAAGTGCTGCGTTGAGAAATCTTCGCAGACATTTCATCTCATTACTCCACGGCGTCCCGATCAAAGCCTCCAGTCAAAAAAAGGGGGAAAAAAAAAAACAGGGTCTGGCTCGATTGTAACGGTGCAGCAGTGGCGTCTCCAGCTTTACTTCAAGTGATACCGCATGTTTTGCTGGCTTCGACTAAGACAACCAAACTTAATTAAATCCCCTCCCCAACGCCGTCGAAGTATTACACAGCCACAATCAAAAATTTCCCAACAATATAAAACAAGCCGTTTATATCAAGCGGGGACTGGAGATATTTGATTTTTTTTGTTCTAGCGTCATTCCCAAGCCTCACAGCTGGAAGCCTGGATTCATAAACCATTGTTTTGCTTCGATACTTGTTCTTGGTGCTACTCGTTAAAAAACTAGATTTGCTGCTATGATAAACAGTGCGTAAGGATTATTTTACGGTTGTTTTATGACCTATCCCGGTTTCCCTCTCAAAACAGACAACTTACTTGGAAGAGAAACGTACTCCAGCTCGGCTCCATTTCCACACTTAGTGATTCTGTAGGAAACCCAGTAGAAGCCTACAACAAAGCAACCAAACATGGCAGCTGAAACAACTTCCGGTAACCTCTAGGACTGTACCACTTTTCGTACTGTTTGGCGGGGAGTGCTAAAATAAAATTTTGAAAAATACTTCGCGTTAAGTTATTCTTGATTGACGTTTCGTAAACGAAAAATTTAATAGTATCCAGTCAAAAATTTCGTTTTAAAACGTTTCCAAGGGATTTCTTGAATATTTAATTCAATTTTTAGAAGTAACTCGTGGTACTTGAAAACGGAACACCCCTCAGAATGTGTTTTGGTTTCTGCTTTGAGGAGCATTTGTTATATTAGATTGTCGCATGTGGCATGGGAACGACTGTGTCTCATTTTTCTCATTTTTAGACCAAAAAGGGTCCCGAACGTGGTTTATTTCACGTCGTATAGACATTCTTCTCTTTAGGCTGGGGGAAAACGTTTTAGTTTTAATTCATGAAGGAAGCATTGTGGCTGATTAATTCAACAGCGATAGCTGACTAAGAACTGCAGAGGCCATAAACTTTGGACAATGAATTGCCTGCATTTTTACAAAACAACATAATTAATTCCTAATTAATTATAAACTTTTAAGATCATGCAAACTTTTGACAAGTTGAATTATATTTTTTATATTTACTCCAATAAAGATTTTCAGTAAATGAGCATCTTTTTAAAATTAGATAATGAATGTTTATTTCAAGAGTTTTATGTTGTTGAATAAATGAGGCAATATACTTTCATGAAGTTTGGTACTTTATTTTAAAAAGGCATGTTACTTTAGCATAAACTACATTAGAAGTTGTTAAAACTAAAAACTATTTTGATTTTTTTGTACCCCTTAAACATGAAAGATTTACAGTTTGGCATCTACTTATTTAAATTTATGAAAATAACTACAAATACTCAACACATGACGAGAACATGTATGTTTTCCACCCATTCTGTTTTTAAGTTAAAAGTTCAAGTCATAATTAATTGTCATTCGCATCGGGTACATGAGGTGGAACAAATTTACTCAGGGTCCCAATTACACTTAGAAATAACAAAAATACAAAGTATAAAAAAACACAGTATATAAGGATCTATGATACCATATATGCTAAACGAATGCCAAACGATATGCTAAGATATATGCTAAACACAATAATGTGAAACAATACGGCGTAACAGCAGCAGCCCGAACATGAGCTGTGGTGAGCAGATAGGTAGCAGAGCAGAGCAGCTTTATTCAAAAGCTACGTGATAAGATTAGTTTTTTGACAACAACAAAAAAAAAAAAAACTTCAGAATTGTCATCCTCAATCTTTTATTTGTTTAGAAAATTCAAAGTTACATTTACCAACCCAAAAACTAGAGGCGTAGTTTCCAAAAATCAAGTAATTATAATCACATAGCTTTTTATGTATTTTTTGATTTAACTGAGAAATTTCATATAAACTTCAAAAGCAAGTAGTTATCTAACTACTGGTCAAACCAGTGGAACTATGGTTTAATCAAACACTTTTTCTGTCTACTTATTTTTTCCTAATCTATGTGATTGTGATAATGTGTGATTACTCAACTTTGAATGTGTTAATTAGGATTTCAGATACACTGCTTATTTACATTTAAAGGCATTCTTGTTCATAGACAAGTTGTATTAAATGACACTTTTTAACATGCCAGTCCTGCACTTAGAAATGGGAATTATAACTTGTATTTGCTTCACCAGTAACATTATTTTCTTTAATTCACTAACCTTCCATCATATATTTAGTTGTAATAACATTATGATCAAACAACATCACTAAAGCCATGCATATTGCCCAACACTATTAATATTAGGGGTGTCCTGATACTGTATTTTTTTTAGACCCAGTCCAAGTCCAAGTACTTCAGTTTGGGTACTTGCCAATACTGAGTACTGATACAGAGTAGTTAATGAGTTACCATTTTAACAATGAGTGCAGAAACACAATTCTTTTATTACGAACACATCAAACAGCCTGCTGTCTTAAGATCACCTGTTTTGATCTGAAACTATGTCTTACATATATATATATATATATATATGTATACAGGTGTATACTGTATACAGGTGCTGGTCATAAAATTAGAATTTCATGAAAAAGTTGATTTATTTCAGTAATTCCATTCCAAAAGTGAAACTTGAATATTATATTCATTCATTACACACAGACTTATATATTTCAAATGTGTATTTCTTTTAATGGTGATGATTATAAATGACAACTAATGAAAACCCCAAATTCAGTATCTCAGAAAATTATAATATTACTTAAGACCAATAAAAATACATATTTTTAGAAATGTTGGCCAACTTAAAAGTATGAACATGAAAAGTATGAGCATGTACAACACTCAGTTCATTAATTTATCCTTTATTTAAACAGAGCCATGAGGACTAATTTACAAGAGAGACCTGAATACTTACAGTAGTTGGGGCACCTTTTGTCTGGATTACTGCAGCAGTGCAGCGTGGCATGGAGTCGATCAGTCTGTGGCACTGCTCAGGTGTTATGAGAGCCCAGGTTGCTCTGATAGTGGCCTTCTGCTCTTCTGAATTGTTGGGTCTGATATATCACATCTTCCTCTTCACATCACCCCATAGATTCTCTATGGGGTTAAAGTCAGGCGAGTTTGCTGGCCAGTTAAGTACAGGGATACCATGGTCCTTAAACCAGGTATTGGTAGCTTTGACAATGTGTGCAGGTGCCAAGTCTGTCCGTCCGTCCGTCCGTCCGTCCGTCCGTCCGTCCGTCCGTCCGTCC